AGCTGCAGAAGTTGCATCTGCCGTTGCATGCGATGATCCAACCGTGACATTTCCTGCAGGAGTTGCATCTGCTGTTGAGCGCAATGATGCAGCTAAAGAAAGCTTCCACTTACAGCCAATGGATTATACAAATTTGGACTCGAAAGTCCCATTAATTTCCACACATTTGATGAGAAAGAGCGTCAAATCACTAGTTTCTTTATCAATAGCATAGGAATGCAAGCTTCTCACATCATAAATTTCATGTCCACCCAATAAATTAATCGAAATACCAAAACAAATAGTCCCGTCGTACAATATATACAATCTCCGGAAAAGCCTATCAGACATGAACGCCCACGAGTCGAGTCAGATTAAGCAGACATAAAAATTGTCATTTTCTCATTTTTCTTCACTAGCATCTTCACCTTCATCGTCATCGTCACCCTCCTCTTGCAAACCAGCATCATCCCCGATCCCTTCAAGAAGAGACTCAACGTCCTCACCCAACTCAGCCAGTCTCGAGCTCAGCTTCTCCACTTTGCTCTGCTCCTGGCCCAGACAAACTAACAAATCATTAAGCTCAGCTTCACTCTCCTTCTGAGCTTCTTCCCTCGCTTCTTCCTTTATTGCTTCCAAATCTCCCATCCTCAAAACCTTAACCTCTGACTCTAGTCGGCAGTTATCCTGCTCTAGGCTATTGTAAGCATCCGAGAGGCTTTTTAAGTCAGATTCCAGCTTTCCAGCCAAGCTTCTGTAGTTGTTAACCTCAGCCTCGATCTTTGCCTTCTCAGATTTTAGCATCTCAATTCTTCGTGCTGCTTCTACAAGCTCTTGACGGAGGGATTCTGATTGAATCCTCTCTATGCTGCTGCTTGGTTTATTACTACCAGAATCAGATGATCCACCTCCAGTTTTCACGAGTTCATCTGCTAGAGTTGCATTTCGAACTAGCAAGCCCTGAAACAAATTTGAAGATGATTCAGAAGTGTCATTAATCAGAAATAAAACAAACAAGGAAAT